GTCTGCTAGAGGAAATTTTCTGCTGCTTTGGCTCTGTCCACAGGGCCTAGTGTTGGACCCTTGGCTCGGCATCTTGGGGAGCGCCTCACACTGCATACTTGAGACCCTCCCCAAGACACAGTTGAGGATTAGTTTTGTAGCCTTGCCTTTATTCATGAGTTTGCAAACTCCTTAGCTCTTGCTTGCATGGTGCTGTCAGGGTGCACATGCTGTCCTGGCTCACAGATTCCCAGTTTGTGACCCATACAGGAGCAAAGGGGTTTTCCTCCTTAATTTTCATATTGATGGTTTATTTCTCAACACTTACATTCTTGCATTTTCACCTGAAGATTCTCATCACAGGTCTTTAATGGCAGGAGTCAAAGACCAATAAAGTAGAAAGACAGTGCAATTGGGAACCAATGACATAGATGAAACCCTGAGAAAATAGGGGTCTCAAGTAAATAAGGGTGTGGAGGGTTGGGGCCAGCCTGTCCCCTTGCCCTCTTTCTATCACAAGGGTGTTCTACTAATCAGATCAATATGTTTAAATCACCTTCACTGATGCTGACTGGAGATGCTTATTTATGTCAACAGAGAAGTTTCACATGACCCTAATAAAAAAAATAGCAAGTGAATAGGAGTCCGTTTTAGACCAGTAGATATACACAGATAAAGCATCCACAGTGACCCACATTTAGTCATACAACTTGGGGGCATCTTCTTCTTGCAGGTGTCAGAAGTCTTGTGTTTCCCTCCCAGCTTCTAGCTGCCACCTGGAGTGGAGGGAGGGAGGGTGGGTGCTGAGTGACTCAAAGATAGTACTTCTCACTGTAGAGGCTTAATGGCTGAGGTACATGGAGGAGGGCTGGAATTTTGGCTCCCCCTTTCACCTTGAAATTCTAAAAATAGAAAGGAAGTCTGGATGACCCAAGTTACTGCTGCTCCTGTGATGTGTGAGCAGATGTGGTAGTTCTTTTCAGAGAGGAAAAAGAAGGTAGTATCTGTCTTGTTTACTCTCTCTTGTTCAAAATATTAGAAACCTTGAATATATAAAAAAGAAGATAAAAGTGGAGTGGGATCCAGATGATGCTAAAAAACAACAGCAAAAGAAATGGTCCAGAGCCTGACAAGTACTTGGGGGTCTGGCGCTGGCTGATCCAGTTCACTCCCTTCCTCTTTCTGTTTTTACTTTGTCTCCCCTCTCTGCCTCTCTCTCTCTTCCTCTTTCTCTCTCACTGTCTCTGTCTTTCTTTGTGTCTCTGTGTGTGTGTCTCTCTCTCTGTCTCTTTGCCTCTGTACTTCATCCTGTGCATCTGTCCTGTATGCTGCATCCATGCATCACTACTTCCTATGCAGCGCATTTCCTGAAACACCATCTTCTGAGCCTGCACCTTAGAGGCCTGATGGGCCCTGGTTTTTCTGCCCCTGGGACCTTCCCACAGTTGTTTAGGAGGTGGGTTGAGGGCACCAGAGGGGACCCTTTGACTCTCCTGCCTAATAAAATTGCAATGGGATATTTCAGCAACCAGGTAAGACAAGTCAGGCACTGTCTTTCGACTCTGACGTCACAGGGAGGAAGCTTTGTGCACTGACCTGACTTCCCGATTTTCATGGCACTACCCTGGCTACCCCAGAATCACCTTCGAGTTCAGCAGACCCTGCCTCCCCGAGGCAGAGTTTTGTGAGAACAGTGGCAGCAGTGCAGGGAGGGAGGGCAGGCTCATGACACTTTGGGGGTGGCTTGGGGTTGTGGTCCTATGAAGGGAGCTTCTTCCTCATTGTTTTCTGAAGGGGAAACCCTCCCTGCCACCCTGTTCCCAAACTCGTGTTTAGGTAAGCATAAAGGTGGTTGTGATGACAACGCAAGCTGTCACTGCGGCAGGCCCACGGGGGTGAGGGTTTTGGGGGTAAGTGATTTTCCAAAAGTCATCAGATGCCCTGTGTTCCATCCACAGAAGACCTCTCCCCATAGTAGGGGAGAAGGGGACCCTGCATCTGGCAGTCCTGAGTTCCACATGCAAGGAAGCCGGGGGGGGGGGGGGGGGGGGGGGGAGATCTACACACCTGGGAGGACATTAACACTAATTACCACAGGGACTGTTTCCCTATATAACTATTCTACCTCCCTCCCTCGCAACCCCTTGTCCGCCTTATGAAGCTGTCTAACATGGAGTCAACACGGCTCCCGTCCCCACCCCTCCAGATGCTCCAGCCTGTGATAAGGTGGACACACTCCCTGGAGGCATGGATGTGTGTGACAGGAAGGCCAGTGCTATGAGACTTGCCAGGGTTTGGTCTGACATCATTCCAAGCAGATGATAATTATGTGTCTCCTTCCCTCTCTGCTCCCCTCAACAAGACATCATGGAGTTATTTATAAACACGGGCCCCTGGGTGCACTTCTCACGGGAAGGACCGCGGCAACAACGGCGAAAGCGCACTAGGAAGAAGCATAGCAACCCCACGGTGGAGACCTGGAGGTGGGGCTGGTCCTGTTTAAGGGGCGGAGCTGAGTCCAGGCCAGCTCCGCCCCGCCCAGCTGCTGTGGTGTAGGGGGTGGAGGCTGCTCGGGTCGGCAGTTCGGCTTTCACAGATATTCTAACTTGTGATAATATGCCCGCAGACACAGATTGTCTTGTGTGTCAAGGGCGGAGGCAGGAGATGAGCTGCTTTTTCCTCCCAGGAACTGGAAATAATTGAAAGTTGTTAGGGTCCAACATGCTGTCCCGAAAACACTATTATTACTTTCCTAATGACTATCTGTGTCTTTCAGGAGGCGACGAAGGCAGCTGAGAGGCGTCCGGCTCCTGGAGAGGACTGGGAAGTGGGAGGCTGGCAGCCTGTAATCTAGGCGGGGGGGGGGGGGGGGGCAGGGTGGTGGTGGTGGTGGGAGGGCTGCGGGTGCTCTGCTTGTGCCCCCGCAGTGCATTCTGGCCTTGGGAATGGGGTCCCAGGGTCCCTTTGGCCCTTTCGCTACGGAGTCACACTGAAGCTGACAAAGCCAGGAAGTTGGGACGCTGCAAATTCTTGCACTCTTGGTCTCCTGGTCCAAGTCCTGCTGACTGTGCTGCCACCATCCGTTCTTGTTCAATTCCCACTGTCGTGTCCTGCTGTCTCCATCGTGGGACCACCGAACCATGGCTTCTGCCTCCCTCTGCTGCTGCTACATTCTCCATCTTACCCCTAGAGCATACGGTTAAACAACACGTCCCTGCTCTGAACAGGATGGGTGGCACCCACACTGCTGGGAGGGGCTCCCGTGGTCCCGGCCTTCAGACCCAGTCTTCGAAAGCCTTATGAACCATGCTGCCTCCTTTGCAGGTGACCCCACCAGACCCTTCTCACCCTTTGAGCCATGCCCTTTGTTTTTTAAAGGTTGTTTTTGATTTACAGAAGTGACATGTGAGGACATGAGCACCGTAGCTTTATGACTTTCCCTGTAACCAACCTCCTCTGGTGTGGACCCTCCAGAACTTTCTCTCTGGGTGTTGCCCAGTCTTCTCTCTGGGCTGCCTGCCTCTGGGTGCCAGCTGGGTATTCCTTGTGTCCTGTGGTAAGGCTCCAGTACTAGGCCGTTTTTAATGCTTCCACACTCCGAAAAAGAGGTCATAATGGTAACCTTTGAGTGAGTGGGCTTCCTGTGGCCCTCTTTTCCACCCTTCACCACCCACGAAGCAGCAGGGTTCAAAGAGGAGAGGCCCGAGAAATGCCTTCTGTCCCTGTCTAGGGGCAAATGGTGCCAATGAGCCCCTGAGCAGGGGTGCTTGCGGAGAACACCTAAGCAGGACCCCCACCCACCACCCCCAAGCCCTGGTCTGGCCACCGCCTGCCCCCTCCCCTAGCTCCAAGGCAAAAGAGATCGATCAAGGATGAGCCCTATCTGTGGCTCCAGAGTCCAGAGGGCTATGCTTGGCTCAGCTACCCAGTCCCCTAGTGATTCCCGGGGGTCTGAGGCTACCGCAGTGCCTGTGACCTGATTCGTGTCGTGGATGCTGCGATGGAAGAAATAATTCTTGCTGAGAATAGGCCACAATGCAGAGATGGGACACGAGGGGTTGAGAGCCACGAAAATGACCGAAATAGAAACAAAACAGCAGACCGCAGCCCAGGAGGTGTGGAGAAAGGGTAATGATACGAAACAACTGGACTTGCTCTGATCCCGAGGACAGCCCAGCTTTTCAGCCAGCCTCGGTCTTCGTTCTCAGGTCACCTGTGGGCAGGTGTGCCAACCAGGCACCTGTATACGTCCAGGCGTAAGCCAATCTGCGTCCCGAGTCGGCCCCGCGGGCAGACCAGCACACTGCAGACAAATGGATTCTGCGGCGTGGAGGAAGGGGACTTGTACCGAGGCGATAGGACAGATGGGGGATCGGGCTCGCTGTGGGCATCGGAGCCCAGTCCGGTAGGGGCAGGGGCGGCGGCGGGGCCGGTAGGGGACTCGCTGGGGTCTCGGGAATAGACCCAGAGACTGGGAGGACTGTTAGCTTTACTTATCAAGGAAGGACCGGGCCCGCGGGATAGGAGGGAGCTCGAGTCCGAAGCTGGGACCTCCCAGGCCACTCCCTAGCTAGGGACCCGCCCCGGCCCCACCCTACTTGTGGCCCCGCCCCTTGCCCTGTCCCAGGCCCCGCCCAGGCTAGTAACCGGTCTGCTCGAGGTCTCTCTCAGCTCCCACTTGCAGCCCCGCCCCGTCTCTGGCCCCGCCCCCAACCCACCCTGTGGCCCGCCCCCCAGAACCCGCCCTGGGCAAGTGACTAGTCGGCCCAAGTCCCCGCCTCCTGCCCGCCCCAACTTTGGTACTGCCCCATCGCTATTGGCCTGGTTCAGCCCTCGCCTTCGCGACGCTGCTGCTTTCCTTTAGGAGATCTTCACAGGCTCTGATTGGTCGTTCACTCTCTGTTACGCAGTTCCATTGGTCTGCGACGCCCGCTTTCGCGGGACTCGGCTCTTGGGGTGGGGCGGGGCCAGTGGCGGCGCGCGGCGCGGGATTGGTCAATCACGCAGAGGGGGCGGGCTCGCGCCGCGCGCAGCGCCTCGGCTGGAGCGCTAGGAACCGCTACCGGCGCCTCAGTCGCCTCAATCGTTTCAGTAGCTTCAGTGTCTTCGGACTTCTCAGACTCAGTCTCTTTTGGCTCCTCCGCCACCGCCTGGATCACACCGTCCCCACTCCCGATCTCGGCCGGGCCTCCCGCGGGCTGGCCCGCGGACACGCTCTTGGTGAGTGAGTGGTCACGGGCGGGGCCAGGGGCGGGGTCCACAGGTGGAGATGGGGTCCAGGCCGGGAGTCGGGGTCCGGTGAGGGGTCTGGGGCCTGGTGTCAATCTCGGGGCGGGTCCCGGTCGGGGTCCGGGCCGGGCGGTGGTCAGAGGCCGTGGCCAGGCGGCGACCTCCGGCGGCTGCCAACTTTAGCCGCGGGCTTGAGGGCGGAGGCTCACGGCTCCGGCTGACCGAGCCCCCAAGAGGCGAAAGGAGCAGAGGCCCCGCCCGCCCCGGCCAACTTGGGCGGCAGCTGCAACGCGGGTGGGCGGGTGGATCGGGCCCCGGTCACCCCCCTTCCCCGCGACCCTCCGAGTTAGCGCCCAGCGGGCCGCCTCTCTGAGGAGCCGCGGCGGGCCGGGGGCCTGGCGGGGGTTGGGGCGGGGGTTTGGGATTGGCGTGATGGGATGCGGCGGGTCTCCCCTTCCCCCACTCCCTCAGAAGTTGTTGGCGAGACACTGCCTTCGGTAACGGCTGGATGGCCTCGCTTGTGGGTGAACAGCTGCCACGATTTTATTCTGGGCTTTATGAGGCTTAAGTTTCAAACGACTTAAACTTGCTCGCATAGGACTGAGAAAGATTGCGGGGGCCGCAGCCCCGGCGCCCTGTGCTCGGGACGCAGGCGCTGCCGCGGACGCGCAGGTGCTGAGCGGGAGGCGGGAGAGCCGGACCCTCCCTTAGACGCCGCTGCTGCCCCCTGAGCCGAGGCGTCTGCGTCGCTCCTTGGACACCGCGTCAAAGCGGGGAGGAGGTTACCTGGGGGTTAGGGGCACGTTTCTCTGTTCTGGTCACTGTATTTTGTTTGGGGGTGGGCCAAAACGTCTTTCTTATTGTTCCCACAAGTGTTTTGCTCCGGAAGTACTGTTCAGTAAAAGTTTATTTTTTCTTTTTGCCCGGTGGCTTTTCTAATTTTTTCTTTCTACTCCGAAGTATATTTCTCACACAGCGCATTTAAAAGTGAATGAGAAATGAGATCGTAAATCTTGCGCGTGGGGTTGGTTATCTTCCTTCTGCCTTCCCTGCGAGGCAGCACAGACTTCAGGGCCTGTTTTGCCCCGTGTGCGAGCTGACTGAGCACTGCCTGGGTTCATGAGGATTCATGGTGTGCGATTCACCGAAAGGAATACTGGGGGCAAGTAGGCCTTGACCAGAGAGAGACCATAGAGACTAGCTGGGTAGTGTACAGACCCTCCAGTTGAAACAAATCCTCTGGCACAGGGATGAGCTGCTGTCCCTTTTTTGTTCTTTAAACTTGGCTTAGATATGGGAACCAAAGGAGTGTGCAAGGGAGCTTTCCTGTTGAAGACAGCTGGTTTCCAGGCTCCTCATGCCCAGGAACAACTCATAACTTTAAAAGATGTCTCAGGGAGGCCTATTTTGGTTCAGGAGACTGAAGATCAGTGGCACTCTGTAGGGATTGTTAGCAAGATTCCAAAAGACCTCATTGATCCTTATGTTGGAGGAGCTGGAGTAGTTTTGGATGGTGTTTTCAGCCCTGGAGATCCAGTGAAAACCAAGGGGTCTTCACATATACATGCAACAGAGGTTGGTCAACTGATGTTGTCTGGTCAACTCATGTTGGACAGCAAAGTACTGTTGTCTTTCCCTTGTATGTAGATGCTGTTGTTTGTACAGTGCAGGTTCATTACACATGTTTTAAGATTTGCACAACTTTATGTATTTTCTTAGTTAATACTCAGTGTTATAAAGTTACAAAAAGGTTTGATGGTAAAAGGAGTCTTTATAACTGAAAAGGTTGTGTCCTGTTTAGAATTCAGGGCTTTGTGACAGATGTTACCTGCCATAGGTGGTGCTGATCACTGGTGATATTGCACCTCAGAACATCACTTTTTCAGATGTCATTATTAATACTCAGGTTTAGAGAAAATACACAGCTGTATGGTTACTTTTCTTGTATGAAAACATTTAAAAAGAAGCTGTCTCTTTCCCTGTTGTTAGAGGGAGGCTCAGAGCATGCTGGGTTTGTATTTGCAAAAGTCCCATGAGGTCCTTGAAACAATCTAGCCACTCAAGACTGGATGCTGTGCTTTAGTTTCAACAATTTCAGTTCCTTGACCTGTAGCCAATTGTGGACTCATGGCCATGTGTCAGTGGCAAAGTCATTCCTAATTTCTCAGAAATCTCAGGGCTTTATTGTAAAAGTGGTCAGTGAACCAGATTTTGGTAGGTAGAAGTTGTTTCCTTTGGTGAAGAAGGCTGGTCCTTTGGGCCATAACAAAGAAAAATATCTGCTTATGTATTAGAATGACCCCGAAACTTAAACATTGGGATGAATACTATGTATTTTGGGCAGCTTGGATTTCTTAGTCCTCATGACAAGAACTCTACAGGCAAGTCATGGACCCACTGTCCATGGTGCTGAATATGTGTCATCTGATTTTTTTCATCTTCAATTTTTCTTTCCAGTATGAGAGTGGGTTTTGGAGTACATTTTAAAATGAATTTCAGAATTCACACTATTAAAGAAAAGTCAAACAGGGTAATTTTATGGAATCTGAGAGGAAGCGTGCATTAAAAAAACTCAAGTCATATTATTGTGTCTGTTTTGTAGTGGACAATTGTGCAGACTCACTAGTTTCATTCCCTTGCTCAGTTTCCTTCCCAGGTGGGAATTTTCTTGCTAGCTATGGATATCAAGTAGCAGATCATTGAAACTAAATGTGACCATGTTTGATTAACAACCACCCTCTGAAGAATGTACTTTTACTATAACATGTACAGATATTTTTACATATAGGCAATTTGTTTTTCCCTAAACAGTGTCGATTGTAAGCATCCCTCATACTCACTGGCATTATGCTTCCGCCCTTCCTGGAGCAGGACCAGAGCTCTCTGATTATGTGGTGGGACTGTTGGGCAGTCTCCAGGCATTCCTGCTGTGTTGGAGCAACATCTACGCTCTCTTCTATAATTTTGAGAACATCTTTGTAAATCATTTAGAGAAATTCTTTATTTCTCTCGAGGTTAATTTTACCTGTTCCTTTAGAATTGCCCTATAGGTTAGCAATAGAAACTAATGGGTGTTATTTGTGGTATAGAGTTCCTTCCACACGATAGTAAATTGTGCATCAAACTAAACATCGAATTGTTGAATTGTTTTTGTTATGAGCATTTTAACCAGTTCTTTGGCCCCGTTGGTTGTGTACTTAACCCAGGTTACTCTTTGCATCTGTTTTGTTGAGGGAAATCCAGGGCTGCTTTCTTCTGCCTCCTCCAAGCTTCAGAAATACTCTTTGAGTGCCCACTCTTTACCAGGCTCTGTGATATCACCTGAGAACCCACAGGGGAATGAGACAGAATTCTTAATCATTGAAGGACTCACTACTTTGAATGAGGAAAAGACATGTAAACAGATGGCTGCAGGGGGCTATGCTCGGGGCTGCAATTGGAATATACAGAAAGCTAGATTAGTGAGTTGAAAGAGGGGTGATTTATTTAGGCTAGCAAAAAGAGAAGGCGTCAAAGAGGATGTAGCCTTTGGGCTGAGCTCTGGAGGATGAATTGTAATTTTTAGGCTTGCATGGGTATAAATCAATTCAAAAAAGGCAAGAAGGTTGGTATAATGGGAGAACAGGGTATGTGGTGGTGCGGAGGCTGGAGGGGTGGTGGGTATGTTGAAAGGGTTGGGACTCCACTAGAGGTGTGTGTATAGGGGGAGAGTTGAGAAGAGATTGTGTGGCAGATAGAATAATGGCCTTCTAAAGCTGAGTACGTTCTAATCTACAGAACCTGTGAATCTGTTATATTGCTTGGCAAAGAGGATTTAAGGTAGCAGATGGAATGAAGGTTGTTGCTAATCAGCTAATTTTATTTAATTTTATTTTTTAAAAGACTTTACGTATTTATTTTCAGAGGCAGGGGAAGGGAGGGAAAAAGAGAGGGAGAGAAACATCAGTGTGCCAGAGAAACATCAATTGGTTGAGAGATGTGCAAGAGATGTGTGAGAGAAACACCTTTTGGCTGTCTCTCACATACCTCCAACTGGGGACCTGGCCTACAACCCAGGCAAGTGTCCTGACTGGGATTCGAATGGTCAACCCTTCTGTTCACAGGCGGGTGCTCAACCCACTGAGCCACACCAGCCAAGGCTATCAGCTAATTTTAAAATAAGGATATTATCTTGCATTACCCTGGTGGGCCCAAAGTAATCACATGGGTCCTTAAATGTACATGAAGTAGGCATAGGAGTCAGTGTCATAGTGGTGTGAAATGAGGAAAATTACCCATCATTTCTGGCTTTGAAAATAGAAAGGGTCACGGGCCAAGGAATGCAGGGAAAGCTGGAAAAGGCAAGAAAATGGATTCTTTCCCAGAGCCTCCAGAAAGGAACACAGCCTTTCTTAGCCCTTGATTCTAGCTCATTGAGAACCATGTGTGACTTCGAATCTGATCATCCAGAACTGTAAGGTAATTAATTTGTCTTGTGTTAAGCCACTAAATTTATGGAAATTTGTTAGAGCAGCCCCAGGAAACTGATAGAAGTTGGGATTCTGCTCTAGGAAGTTTTAGCTGGTTAAGTTTAAGGAGGAAATAATATAGTCAGATTGACTGTAGAAGGTAAATTGATGTAGCTGCTTTGGGGAGGAGGTTGCCCCAGGTAAGCGTGGCATCTGATATTATCTTATGGCCTGCGTCCCACTTGAAGTCTTTCTCCTAGCAGCCTGTTCAGTCTCCCCCAACCCTCTGTTAATTCCATGTCCCACTGGTCCACCTTTCCCCTGTTCTGGGCACTGAGGAGATAGTGGACCTGGTATTCATCTATAAGTGGGATTGTGGGGCTATAAGGTAGGTACAGTTCCAACCTCAGAGCTGCTGTTAAAATACTCTTCAAGGATTTATTTCTTCACATCCTTGCTAACCCTTCGTATATTCAGGTGTTTTCATTGTTGTCAGTCTGGTAGATATGAAATATCTCACTGTTTTAATTTGAATTTCCTTGA